TTTGTTTTCCATAGGCTTTTCATTTGTGACCACGCTGCCTCTCTAGTGTTTAGTGTTGGACTTAACCGGGTAAAGGCTGACAGCAAAACAGGCTTTTGTGTAAAACGTGATCCTGAACATTTCCATATTAAAGGCTGGCCAATCTGGGGCAGTAAGCTTGGTGACCTTGGCCTGTTTGGACTCTCCTTGGCTTTTGATCTGTGCCTGAGTGAGTGCTAACATTACTAACCACTTCACTGCCAGCAGAACTTTATTATACATTAAATGTGTGATCATTTTGGGATGGCATTCACCAGTCAAAGACATAAACATGGTTATTAACTTAGTAACACATTATTGAGAATTAAATCCAAATGACAAAACTGATCCATGGCTAAAACCGGAGAGATTCCCCCCCCCCCCCCAAAATCCTCTATTTTAGCCCAAATTGTCCCACTTGATTTAACTTGCTCAAATATAAGGTTAGAGAAACCATGTGTGTCATACAAACACACATGAACTTGTATACTGCCAACAAGGAGATGTAACTTTATAAGCCAAAGGGAGCAGGTGGCACAACTAACACTCAAATACTTAATGGACGTGTTTAATATGTTACATTCAAACATTCAGTTAAAAGAAGAAAACTTCACCCTCAAACATATGATTTCACTACCTAGAAAAATAAATTGCAGTGTATTAGGCTTTATCAGATTTGTCTTCCAGCCCATATCTAACACAAGTACTGTATTGTTTCTTATCAGCATCTCCCTCCTAGACGATAGCACCAAAATACAGTCTGGAATAAGTGTTCCACCACAATTCTTTACTTGTTATATGAGGTATGTTTTCTTTGGCTATAAAAGTGTGCAATTTGTTAAAAAAAATAAAAAAAATACAATATATACAATAACAATTTCAGTGTCTTGTTTTTTTCCTCACTGCAAAGACTATTATTTCCTCGTGTCAATGATATAACTGTTTTCAATGCAAAGTACTATAAACTTGTTTGAGCAACTATATGATCTCTGATCTAGCAATTTCCCACTGCGTAGAGAAGATGCCTGTCCGCTGACTGCCATTTCAGATGTCCTCCAAGCTTCGCAGTAGTTGTGAACCAGTCGGATGCCCGTCAGACTTGATCCATGCCAGATTATTTTTTGTGGCCTGTGAGTAATACAGAAGTGTTCGATTACAAAATGGATGGGATCATCAAGCTAGCAAAGCTAAATTGCACTTGCTAAACCCTAGACTAATAGACTAAAAATAATGTATACTTTTGATACATTGACGGTTCTTACACTAGCTTCCTGTGTCCACTAGGGGTCAGTTTAAAATTCAAACTCCTACAAAACTAATATTTCATCTGTAATTAAGGAAATATAACCCCCCCAAAACCTTCAGCTGAACTGCAGTGTGCACTAGTTTCCACAGCTTTATAAATTCTAAAAATATCTTTAAGGATTCATGTTAGAGGGTTACTCCAACTAAAAATGGTGTTGTGTTTAAGAACCCTTTCTGGCATGGTCTTCCTAAATAAAGGAAATAAATAAATTAATGCAAGAACGTATCTGCAATCCCACACTGGAGTCAAGTAGTAGCCTGATCCACTTTCATTGATGTCACTTCCCCTCATTGCAGAGGGGGAGAGGGACAGGTTATGGTGGCAAAGGGGAAGGGGCTGAGCCATCATTGGTTGTGTGTTGTCAGCATGCTATGAGTTATATCTCCAGCAGCAAAGTGCATTATCTTTGCACATGCAGTGTTTCATACTGTAATGCTGCACATGCAGACTCCAAGCACCATAACTATTTCAAAACACTGACTTGAGTATCTATCTCCCAATAGCCATCTACTTCATCTCATCTGATGCAATTTATACTACAATTCACACTTTTCTATATTTCCACACAGTGTAGTATAGCACACCATTGATAGATAATATACAGGTAAATGTGGACTGTAACCCTGGCAGTTTCTTTAATTTTGGACATTCTGCACTTTCTATTTTTTTTAATAATGCCATATTCCATTTAAACTGTTTGAGGGAGCCATGTTTATGCATGTTTTCCTTCTTAATAGTATTCCCTTTCACTGTCATTGATAAAGAATATTTGCTTTTTTTTTTTCAGTCCAAGGGATGTTTGAGTATGCAATGGCACATGTATATTGATATCCAATATGATATAGGTAGGTAACAAGATAACGTACCATGTGGAATCTGTCATTACATTTCTTCCATCAAATGAGTATATTGGAATTTGAGTATTGAACTGTGCTCCATTGCCAGAAAATAAGGATTCCCAATTGTCAAAAAGTAATTCTCCCTTTAGAAATAAAGTAACACGGTATATTAAAAAAATGAAATATTCATATGTGAAGCACACACAAGATTATTCACTAAAGTGAGAAATCAAAGTGAATTTCAAATTTAAAGCCAAAGTAACTTTAAATTTGAAATTCAATTTGAATTCTCATTAGTGTAAGTGATCTTGATAACAACTAATATGCTTACTATGTATGCAGAGACAATAAATAAAACAGCTAGTAGGCTTTGCAGTATTTAAGTTATGACTTTCCAGGTCATCACGTCTGTCTGATACTCCCATTAAACAGAATATCCTCCTGAGTTTTCTGGTATGTATTAAAAGTGAAGTTTTCCCTATCAGATTAACAGAAAGAAGCACTTGATCTGATATTGGAAGGACATATCCATTGAGTCATCAACAGATTGAAACATTAAAAGGATTATTTACGAAAGTGAGAATTTAAGGTGAATGTAGAGTGAATTTCATATTTAAAGTCAGAGTAGCTAAATGGCTGAATTTGGAATTCACTTTGAATTCTCACTTACAGTGTTTATTCACTAATATGTGAATTGAAAGTGAACTTCAAATTTAAGGTCAGAGTAGCTGAACTGGAAGCAGAGCCGATTAGAGATTTTTTTTTTTCTTTTAAGTTTGGCAAATTTAAAAAAAAAAAAATTCCTTTGAATTTAACGTGAATTTTCATTTTCGTGAATAACACTGTTAAAGAAAGATGCACTCTGCTACCTCGGCTCATACATTTAGCGGGACTACCTATACATTTTTATTTTACAGAAAGCTCCTAGATACCAGTAGTTATTTTAGAAAGCATTCTCGTTTTGATTCAGATATTAGAGCTTTTTTGGGGTACTTATATGTAGGGCTTTTGATTACAGGTAGAATAAAACAGATTAAAAACATTACATTTAAGAAAAACAAAAATCCAGAATATCTATTTCAAGAATAAAATTTCCAACATAAAATATTTTCTGAGCAAATATCCTTGTGTTTGATAGAAACGTGCCTGATTTCAATATAGAATGGTGATATTACCTTCAAGTTCACAATAGGGAGATGGAATCTATCAGCTCTTCTCACAACACTGTGGAGATCTTGCAGATGAGAAGATAGGAAGGCTCTGTAGGTGGATGTCAAACCGACTGCACGAGCCTGCTGGAAGCATTGTAAATCAGCCCGTACATCACCAGTCAATGGGGAGTTCAAAGCCACGAGATGAAGCTACAAAGAGAATTAAAGATGGCTTACAATCTAATCTGGGATTCACTATGTGTAGTTTCTTCTTTAAGGCCTTAGTTAGAATGACTCACTGTATGTCAGATCTCTCTGCAGTACTGACATAAAATTTACAATTGAACTTTGAAGATATATGTGAAATCTGAAATCTCCTCATTCATTGGGCCAGTATTTGCAAACCCTGGAAAATATTAAATTTGCTACCCTCTCAAGTGCCCCACCTCTAACCCCTCAATCTCATTCAGGATTTGTTTTACCTTAGTCTGCACAATTTCATTTCTTGTAATCTCTTCTTTCATGACTCCTTACTCCCAGAAACACCAAATAACATTGTTTCATCTTTCCAAGCAATACTTTTGTTTTCCTCTCTCTCTTCATTAGTGTACATTCCTCATCTCTCTAAATCTTTTCTGTGTACCACATTCTTCTGTTATCTTTTACCCAAAAGTTTCTATGAATTTTGACATTTCTCTGTTCATTAAGCCCCTTTCATGTTTTCTCATTTTTCTTGGAGACTTTTTTTATGAATATGATTTAAGGCAATTTGTTAATTTAAACCTGCAGTTTAGCATTAAGGTTTCTAATACAAACTGGATAAAAGCTAGAGGAAAAAAAACCCTCAAACATTAATATGAATACATTGACTGATATATAGGTAATGAGGAATTTAATTTCAGAATAAAGCTGTAGAAATCTTCTATTTTATGTTATATATGACTGGAGCCATTTTATACATTGCTTTGCTGTAAGTAGCCATTACTGTGACTTATTTATATGTATTTATTATGTTTTATATGTTTTGATGTTTTAAAAGAAAAGTACTGTGACTTTAAATAAAAATATGGGAGTCCTCCTGAGTGACATCAATACGCTAGTTTTCTGACTGACAAGTTTGATAAAGGCATATTTTTAAATAGTTTTTTTTCTCTTAAACTATACATTTGCTATCACAATGTATAAATATAAATGTGCACTCTTTTAAAAGAGTAAATGTTATCAGAAGCATGACAGGTAAAAATATTCTCTTTATTCATCTACTTTTATTACTCTTTAAAAACAATGCATAATTTTGGTGATGTATTCTCTTTAAATGATGTGCCTTTTCCCCACATTTATAAACACGATTGGCATGGACATTTCAGGAAGTGATTGCCAAGTCACAGTTTATACCAGCTAATTTAAAAAAAAAAAATAATTCACCTTTTCATATAAGCGTTTATTTGACTTTTAAGTTCCCAAAATCTTTCGGTTACATTTAAAAAATATTTTATTAACTAAAATTATAGTCTAATTTCTTTATTCCGGCAATCCAGAAGTGAAGGGGTAATGTAGTACAGGTATATATTATGTGGGAGAACTGTTCAATAGTGATGTCCTGAACATTTCGCCGAACGGTTCGCCATGAACGGTTCGCCACAGACTCATCATTGAGTAAACTTTGACCCTGTACCTCACAGTCAGCAGACACATTCCAGCCAATCAGCAGCAGACACTCCCTCCCAGACTCTCCCACCTCCTGGACAGCTCACTAAGAATGCAGCTTCACAATGGATGCTGTCCAGGAGGTGGGAAGGTCTGGGAGGGAGGGTCTGCTGCTGATTGGCTGGAATGTGTCTGCTGACTGTGAGGTACAGGGTCAAAGTTTACTCAATGATGAGTCCGCAGCGAACAGTTCGGGACATCACTACTGTTCAACAAAGCAAGCAGTGATTGCATTGGTATATGCTTATTTGTATGCTGAGATAGCTGAAGAATAAACGTACTTATGGTATGTTGCTTAAATCTACTTTATCAGTCTTTCATTTGCATTCTTTTGGTTCTGTTCAGGAACAGTATATTACAAAAAGCACCTTGAAGAGTATATTTATATTTTTTCTTGTCATTTGAGGGCTTTCTTGTCTTAATTCCATGTGCTTATTTTAATAATCCAGCTCTCATCCATACATAGAGAAACACAGACATTAGTAGTTCTTTGCAGTAGTGACACAAGGACATGTTTAACTCACGTTTGGTGTTCCATAATCTATATTCATTCCTGGAGTAAGTGCAGGAAATGGGCGATATCCCTTTAATTAATAAAATAATACATTATTATGATTTTTTTCAGAACATACATTGCATTTTGCTCTTATCGTTGTCAAATCTGTGGTTACATAAAGACTATAAGATGATCAGCTTCACATGAACACATTCGCATAATTACTAGACAATCTTCAGTATCTCTAGTGACTTTGAATGAACTCAACACTTCTTCTTTCCAAGGGCAATAACATGACAACTAATGAGTTGGATAAAATCTATATGCTAGGATAGGATATATTTGGAAACTAAACAAACATGGTAAAATGTGTTGCTATTGTATTACTACCGCATACATAGTGTGTAATGGATGCAGTGTTTGTGTAGTGGATACAGTCATGGGCATGGCAAGAGGAGGCACAGAGATCTGTATATATATATATCTGTATATATATATATGTGAAGAAATGCCTTTTTTTTACTGTATATGCCCTCTTTGTATTTGTGTCAATAGCAATGTTTCCCTATGGCATTCGGTAGGTAAAACTACCGAATGCAGACCACCCTGTCACCCCTTTATACATCCAAACTTTGGGGCTTATTGGCTTCTAAAGACAGTTTCTTCCCATTGGAATCCATGGGAAGGTGTGTTTCTTCCCCTCCCCCGTTTCCTGTCTATTGTTCTCAAGCAGGGAGTTGTCCCAGGGACACTGCCAGACCAGTGGGAACTGGTTTGGGCAGAAAAGCCATGCTTCCTTTGGGTCACAAAGGACTTCTAACTAACTTTTGAACTAATGGAAGGATTTGCATGATTTTTTGGTATGTTTGTATTTGGGATGTGCTGATTAATAATATGTGACTTTTATTAATATTGGATGTATGGTTTTGGAGTTATGAAAGTTGGGTAAAAAGTGTGTTTTAAAATGTATTGATAATTGGGTTACCTCTCAGGCTAAGGGGAGGAGATGTGTGGGATGTAACCATTGTGTGATTGGTTGTACTGTATCCCACCCTGTGGGATGTCCCCTTGCATGGGGACCTGCATAAAAGAAGGTTCTTTGTGTGCCAATAAACAGTTCATCTTTGTACCCTTATTCTGACTACGTATGCTGTTTGGGAGTTCGTGTGTTTTACTGTGGGAATTATCCAGGAACACTATTGGATTTACAATTGGGAATTCGTCTACTATAACTACCGAACGGAGGGCTATATTCACTGGGCTCTGGCTGTTCGGGAGGAAACTACCGATTAAGGTTTAAATGTACTTGGTTTCCTTACAATATATATATATACAGTGAGGGAAAAAAGTATTTGATCCCCTGCTGATTTTGAACATTTGTCCACTCACAAAGAAATGATCAGTCTATAATTTAATAGTAGGTGTATTTTAACAATGAGAGACAGAATAACAAAAAAAAAAAATCCAGAAAAACGCATAAATTGATTTGCATCTCAATGAGTGAAATAAGTATTTGATCCCTTATCAATCAGCAAGATTTTTGGCTTCCATGTGTCTTTTATATAGATAACGAGCTGAGATTAGGAGAACTAATCTCAGCTCGTTACTTGTATAAAAGATACCTATCCACAAAAGCAATCAGTCAGATTCCAAATCTCCACCATGGCCAAGCCTGAATAGCTTTCCAGGGATGTCAGGGACAATATTGTAGGCCTACACAAGGCTGGAATGGACTTCAAGACCAACGGCAAGCAGCTTGGTGAGAAGGTGACAACAGTTGGTTCGATTATTCGCAAATGGAAGAAACACAAAATAACTGTCAGTCTCCCTCAGTCTGGTGCTCCATGCAAGATCTCACCTCATGAAGTTTCAATGATCATGAGAACGGTAAGGAATCAGCCCGGAACTACATGGGAGGATCTTGTTAATGATCTCAAGGCAACTGGGGCCAAAGTCACAAAGAAAATAATTGGTAACACACTACGCCGTGAAGGACTGAAATCCTGCAGCGCCTGCAAGATCCCCCTGCTTAATAAAGCACATGTACAGGCCCGTCTGAAGTTTACCAATGAACATCTGAATGATTCAGAGGAGAATTGGCTGAAAGTGTTGTGGTAAAAAATCGAGCTCTTTGGCATCAACTCAACTCGCCATGTTCGGAGGAGGAGGAATGCTGCATATGACCCCAAGAACACCATCCCCACCGTCAAAAATAGAGGTGGAAACATTATGTTTTGGGGGTGTTTGTCTGCTAAGGGGACAGGACAACTGCACCACATAAAAGGGACAATGGACGGCGCCATGTACTGTCAAATCTTGGGTGAGAACCTCCTTCCCTCAGCCAGGGCATTGACAATGGGTCATGGATGGGTATTCCAGCATGACAATGACCCAAAACACACAGCCAAGGCAACAAAGGAGTGGCTTAAGAAGAAGCACATTAAGATCCTGGATTGGCCTAGCCAGTCTGCAGACCTTAATCCCATTTCAGCCTTGAAACCTTAATGACTTTTAGAGGATCTGCAAAGAGGAGTGGGACAAAATTCCTCCTGAGAGGTATGTAAACCTGCTGGCCTCTGTGATTACCACCAAGTACTAAGTGAAAGGCGTCAAATACATAATAATAATATTTCACTCATTGACATGCAAATCAATCTATAACTTCTTTGGCATGCGTTTTTCTGTAATTTTTTTTTGTTTTGTTATTCTGTCTCTCACTGTTAAAATACACCTATCATTAAAATTGTAGACTGATCATTTCTTTGTCAGTGGGCAAACGTTCAAAATCAGCATGGGATCAAACACTTTTTCCCTCGCTGTATATAGTGTTTTTCGCTATATTTATATATATATATATATATATATATATATATATATATATGCAAATGGAAGGCACAGCCCATTTGTTAAAAGTAAAGGGGCGGCATAATGGCGCCCCTGTCAAAGTGCCTCTTGCAGCCATTGTCCTATTTGGACCAATGGTCGGGCCGGTCCTGGGTAAAATGACATTATGTTGTGGTTTAATAGAGACATAAACCTTTTTTTCTTTTTCATTGAGAATCGATAAAGATTGTTGTTTATCAGAGGCTTGAAGAGACATTTTTCAAACAGCGTATGACATACTAATTAAAACCATTTTGCTTTCAAAAAAGCACAAGTTTTAACTTGATAGATTTTTGTCTTTTTCAATGTAGACTACTATGACTTAGATGAGAACTTACATGGCCTGAAATTGCTGGTGGTGGAGGACTATCAGCTGGAAGGGAAATCAGGTCCCCAAGCTAAAAAGAAAACAAATAGCCATCAATACTTAAATTGAGCGTAAAATTAAATGTTTAAAGGAAAAACATTCAAAACAATAATATAAAGCCACCTGAACTTTTCTCCATCCACCTCGAACGCGTACGTATACCTCACTGCTTTCACTCAGATACATTAAGGTGCCTTCTGGTACCAAATGTGTTTTCTGCAACAGGTCATCAATATTTTTTGTTGTTGTTGCCTAGCAATTAAACATAACGGAGACACCATGAGCATGCAGAAAATATGATTTAACATTATAATATAACACTTTAAAGAGATCATAGCTTCAGCTATTCTGCATTGCATATATCTATGCAGCATTATTTATTAAAAGCATTTATTATTTTCCATACTAACGGTTTAATTTCTGTGATACTAGGTATATAATCAAGAAAATACATGTCAGTTCAACCAAGAGACACCTCCCAACATCAAGGCTGGTTCAAGGATTTTTGGCTACACAGGTCAGGAGACGTACCCCAAAAATGAAACTGTGTCTGTGTGATACCCATTTTGCCCTCTTACCCAACATTTTGTCCCTTTTGTGTAACTTGCCACCCATTTTTCTTTCTGTTTTTTACCCCCTTTTGAGGATTGCATCCCCTTCAGTATTTCTGAGTTCCACTTTTGTCTTTATCCTCCTTTGTGGTCTCTTACCCCCTCATTTGTCTTTTACCCCCGTTCGTGTATTTATTAAATTTTTGCTTCTTGTTTATCTTACCCCCTGATTGTGTCACCTACATCCCTTTTGTGTCACTAATAACTCATTTGTGTTTCTTAACCTATTTTGTGTTTCTTACTCTTCCCTTTTGTGTCTTTCAACCCCCTGTGTTTCTTATCCCCCCTTTTTTGGCTCTCTCTCACCCTGTCTGTGGACCACAATATAGGATCTTATAGGAATATAGGAACTTAAGAGGGATGTAGGGAAACAAAACTGGTGTGGACTGGCTGACAATTAAATTAGTTAAGGCAAAGCTGACTCTGCACACTATGCAAATGCTCTTCACTGCTTCAGTCTCTCTAACACTGTAGCATGTTCCCTTTCTTCTACATACACTTTTTCTCTGTCCCAGACTGTATAACAGGAGCTTCTGCCTGCTAGTAAGAATGTTAGGAGAGGAGTGGACCAGCGAGTGCTAGGGAACAGTCCTTAGAAAGCGTAGAGCTAGCGCATCATTAGACGCATTTATGTCAAGCTCTGGGTGCTGTCTGCACAGTATGCCCTTGGTTAGTCATCCTGCATGATTTGCAGGCAGCCTGACATGCATTCACGCCAGGCTGACCATCTAATTCTTTGCGCAAGTATGCCCCCTTGGGCATGTTTGTCCCTTTGAGTG